CAAGTTAAACATATCATTAGTTATCCATCAAAAGTATGTCTTAGCCAATCATATTCTAATATAGCTTGCAAATAACTGTCCTTATGCACTTGTAAAAATATGCACTATAAAAGGTAGATTGTAATTGTATAGCTCAGAGTTGAAGCTACAAGCAAAGTGTAAGGAAAAGCTTTGGTGTTCTATTAAAAACATTTGATCCAAGTACCGGCTCTTACTGAGTAAATCCTACAGTTTACAAGCTCATAAAAGACCCTTGTAACAGTTATTTTTAAATTCCCGATGCGGCGGCCGATCAGAATCGTACTCAACTCCCTTGAAAGTTCCTTAAAAATGAGTAAAATACGGTTCCACCGACACCTTGTTTTCAATCCACCCGAGTACTTCGTCGTTACCCCCTGGCGCCATCTCCGCCATTTCTCTCTAGCTCTCGTCATGGTTGTGGATTTCTCCCGCTATGAACCCATTTGGGTCTCGAAAAGTCAAACTCTCTACATCTCCAATGATCTCCCCTTTTTGAACTCTTTGTGCCGTAAGTGCTAGGTCAAGATTTTCTGTCTTTCCTCTAATACCGACCGTTGCAAGATTTCCCTTCCAATCTACTCACTGTATATTGCAACGTGGTCTCGTGTTAGCTAGTTCGTAATTAAACCCACTGTCTCTTTCCCATTCCCAGGTTATTGTGTTCTGTCAAGACAAATAGCAAAAGCAAATAACAATCTACCCATTTCAAAGAGATCCCGCAACACAGGTCAGCAGAGAAAAGACAGTCTCGACCCAGCCTGAACGGGAGGGTTTTTAGCAGACCCCGTTTTCAAGACTATCAAATTCTCCAATGACTCTGCCTCAATAACAAATAGACACGACACTCATTACTCGTTAGTATGGTTTATTAAAACCTCAACTACAAACTCCATGGATCTACTTATACGTATAGGTATATCATTACTCGTTTGCAATCATTTCTTGTCATTACTCGAGTCCCGTTTTCCGGACCCAAATGACGACCCCTGACCCTTCTCCGCAGCTTTCCTTGCTACGTATTTGGTCCACAGGTGGCCTGGGTTATTACAATAATAACATCTTCGGGGACCCTGGTACCCCCTGGCTGGCCCTATAAGGTGTACTCTGGCGATCCCGTCTTAAATTCTTTGCCATCGCCTTCTCGACCTTTGCAACTGCCTCAAAAACCTTTTGATGATCCTTATTGCCCAAAAGCCTCAGAGTCAGCGACCTGAAGTGCTCGTGCGGAATATCCATCTTGTTCCGGGCACTTGGTAATATTCCCGTTTCTCGTGTTCGTATCTCTGGCCGTGTTTTGGAGTGTCACCAGAATTTTGAGGAGGTCATACTTATTAAACTCCGATGCCGGCCGAGTTGCATAAGCCAACGCCTTGGCCAGCAGACCCGCCACGTTTACTTGGTCATCTCCTCTACAGCGCCACCTCTCCCTTTACTCTCTGTAAAGGTTCAAATCAAATAACCTACGTTAACTCCCGTTCAATCCGAGGGATTACTCCCACATTGCACAACAACCACGTATAGTTATTCCGGGACTATCGTTATCCCGAAATACTAAGCACTCTGATGTATTGGTATGAACCAAGTGAGCCTCTCTTATACTGCTAAGTAGAATAAATATCAAACATATGCCATGAACACTCATGCGAACAAAAGTTGTTTTAACCCGTGAACATTTCCTCGCTTAATTATGAATGTCCAGAATCGAAGAGTGGAAACTCACTCCACCGCAACCGTTGTTTATACACATAAATACTCCGTAATTAAAGCCGCACACAATGCCGTGCTAACGAATCCGCATGTTGCCTAGTGACACCTCACTCAGTAAGGCAGCGTTAAAAACACACAAAAACAAAATGAAAAAAAAAAAACACTGAAAACTCACTCTGATACCAAAACCGTTGCCTTAAGTAGTGAAACCTCACTCTTCCTCATATCTAACAATGCAGTGAACACTCACTACAACGAACGCTATTTCCACTAGTGGAATATCACTCCATCATGCATGTCCCACATTACAATGCAATCAAAACTCCGGCAAGCGTCTAGTTGTTTTAACCATTGAAAAAAACTCACTCAAAAACGACTCTCAAAGGAATACAGTGAAAACTCACCCGAACCAACACTCTTTTACCGAGTGAAACATCACTCCTCCATCACTTCAAACAGTGCCGTGAAAGCTCACTTGAACCAGAAACGTTATCTTAAATAGTGAAAACTCACTCTCTATATCAAGTGACAACTCACTTTAACCCATGTTACACTAGTGAAGACTCACTTTAACTATCAAGTGAAAACTCACTTTAACACAAGTTGCACGAGTGAAAACTCACTCTCTCTATCAAGTGAAAACTCACTTTAACACATGTTGCACGAGTGAAAACTCACTCAGTCTCTATCAAGTGAAAACTCACTTTAACACATGTTGCACGAGTGAAAACTCACTCTCTCCATCAAGTGAAAACTCACTTTAACACACGTTGCACGAGTGAAAACTCGCTCCCCTATATAGCCTGTTAAAGAGCTGACTCTCGTAAACTGCAACGAAACTAAATCAAACGTAATTCAACAGACATATTACCTCGAGCTCCTCATTCTCGTTTGGCGCGGCCGCTTGCTGAGGTTGCGCTCCCGGTTCTACCACGGGTTGCTGTTGCTGTTGCTCTGGTTCCTGCACCTCTCCTCCGCCGGCTTCAGGCACTGCTGGATATTGCATGATATTTCCTTGGTCTCCCATATTCGTTTGCGTCGTACGAAGGCCAAGAATCCAAATCAAGAAAATAAGTTCACCAAACTCCGTCTGACCGTGATACTGAGCAGGAAGGAGTGAAATTAAACGATTTCAGCTTAATAACCAATCCCTGCACGTGTTTATTCCCAAAATGCAATTAGGAGTCCCTTTGGGGTTATAAATAACACATTTCATCTTTGCATGTCACTACGAGTGTTATGAATAGAAGCTTCCTTTTTAGAAGAAACTCTACAAATAGCACGCCAGAGCAAATCTTCACTATATGGAGCAGGCATAGCTACGCTACAAGGGTGAGAATTTCGAATAACTGAATGTGAATATATAATTAATATATATGCCAATCCCGAGATTCTTTGCAGACTCAAGACCGTGGACTGTGTCCTGGCGACGACAACGTTTTTTGAAATAGGTGTAACAAACCTCTTAGTGTTACACTMTAATTGTAAGTTGTATTTTTTCTATTTTGCCATAGACCTTTTAAGTGTTTACGTCATAGATCGTATATACAATGCATTTATAAGATATCTTTGGGAGTTTTCTTATATTTTATCCAGATGAACAGATCCCACGACGATGGATCCAGAAATCTAATTAAAGCCCGGAGGCTTTCCAATATCCAGCTAGTAATTGACCGAGAAATCCGGGCAGGCTCAAAATAAGATGTGCCAGGCCGAATTCGCGGAAACTTCAGTCAGCCATTAACCCTTTGAGGTCCGCTTTAGGCCATTATTGGTCGTTTACGACCGAAGTTTGTAAAAATTGCAAGTATCCGAGATCGCAAATGAAGACCACCAAATGTACTTCATGACAACAGTTAGTAATTTAACTCCATTTTAGTTAGAGTTGAAAATATTTCACATCAAGCATGATATCTGAGCAAAAAGAACCTCTGAAAAAAAGGAATGCCTAAATTTCGACTTTGTGGTGTACACGAAACGGGTGGGATTCACGTCCCTTCGTCTTCAGTTTTAGAGTCAAAACCATCTTCTGCAAATCGAAAGTCTACGTTTTTTGAAATTCCCAATCCCAGATCTTTAGCATTTCTGCATTTTTGTTTTGTAGAAGTCTCTACAGACCTAGCCACAGACCCCTTTTCGACACCAATCACAGAAAACCTAGATTTCTCACTTGCGCGGCCGATTTGCATCATGGGAAATGTGGTTCAAGCTCGGCAGGGAGCAACCAACGTTCCTGTTTTCATTAATGTTTTTGAAGTGCCAAGCCATTCGCACCTACAGGCAAAATATTGCACCGATTGCATTCTTTGGATGTTAAAACTTGCCAATTTTACCTTGGCAGGTTCTGAAACCTGACACAGAACGACTAGGGAGGCGACCTTTCCCTAACGTCGGCAATTCAAAGCTAACTTCGTATTGGCGACATTGTCTTCGAAAAATCGCTTCCCGCCTCTGATTTCTTCCAGAAGAGTGTCTCTGCCGTCTAGTCGAGCTTCATAATGCAGTGCTAGGGGCTTCTGTGGCAGCAAATGACTCGAAAAAGCACTTAAAAACGGTTTTTGGTCTCAAATTTGCCAGGCGTCGGTGAAGTAAACAAACTCAGAGGAATGTGAATCTACAATAGTTTGATAGACAACTCTTTATATGGGGTACATTTATTTTTTTGAAATATTAGTCTCAAAAACACCCTAAAATCCAAAATAAATCGCGGACGTTAAAGGGTTAAAGACTATCTAAATTGATGTTGGCCTATGCCATTTTTAATTTTGCGCGACCATCCCATTGATTTTTGATCGATATCGACCATGAATATCGACGTAAAAGTTGAACCCCTTAAACGRCAGCTCGAAAATAAGTCAAAGTCAGCAATGGCTAAGCAGGTTTTGTCATATGCACTTTAATTTGATGAACAAAAMACATTWAAAAAGATTTACAAGGTTCTTATTTAATCTTAAATTCCCGTTTAGCTGCTTCAGAAACTAGCTAATTACGGTGGGCGTAAAAAAAWTWAAAMGTGTGMAAATATCCTGTTTTTACATGAGATATTTGGTTACCATAGCAGCAACACAGACTAGAACGAATTTGGGCGCCAAGGCGGAGCTGGCGTTACACCCATCGGAGTCGCAGCAAGAAGCTTTACATTCGCTTTTTCCGTCACAAAACTTCATGACGTCGCAAAGTGCTTTGGTGGAGCATGACTTGGTGACTACATCGCCCACTTTGATTTTTAAGCAGCGGTCATACTTGATTATTGAACTAGATGGACAATCCTTGTTGTTTTCATTGCAATTTCCTTTTGTGTTGGTACACACGTAGCACTTGATGGAAAGCACTGTTCATATAATAATAAAAAAATGTTAAATAATAATTATAATAAAACTTTGTTTTTTGTGTCATCAATTTCTAGCTGAGCAATGGTAAGACTAATTGGGGACAGTTATCTATATTATCTACACTATAAAATTATTCCCTCCCTATTTACCCAACAGCAATTGTCAAGCCGGCATCATTYATTACTTGTTTAGTAATACTAATACTAATAAATATTGATCTATTTTCCTCCATTGTAGCTAGTTTAATGGCATAGAAAAACAATTAAGTAAATAAAAAGAATTTCTGTGTTTAATACTCTGATGAAAACACGCGGGATAAACACGAGAGATGCGCAGGAAACCACGACGCAAATTTCTTTTCTAAAATAATCCAGTATTTGTGACAGCAATTTTGATCGTTATCGTTTTTTTAGTCATTGCTGATGAAACGAGGAAATTCCACTCTCAAAAGTTGGATAAGATGACTAGCGGCTGAACTCAAACTACAAGGAAAAGACAAATGGCGGATGATTTGACCAAAAACAGCTCGAAGGTCACCAAAAACAACTTCAAATGTTGGTGAAAACACGATATTTGAATACCAGTGTGTGTATTTCTTTATTTCTGTGCTGTATGAAGCAAGCAAACCAACTTTTCAACAACTTTTTCAAGCTGTAAATCTTACTAAGCTGTAAGTCGTACTGTCAGTGTAAACTTTTGAACATTTCAGAACATTTCTGTGGCCTTTTATGCCTATTCTAATGGCTATTTCTGTCACATAGATGTAGTATAATTTTTAAAGTAAAAAATAAGCTTAACTTATAATTCCTTAAACTGGACATACCAGTTTTAACTGATGAAAATTGTACGTAATTTTTTTTAATCAAACGGAAAATAAAGCGAACGCACAAATATCTATTTTGTACGACTTCATGAAATAATTGACTTTACTTGCTTGCTTTATCTCTTAAGAATACTTATTCACAATGAAAATACAATCCACATATTAAACAATTGCTTCGGAGAAAAATTCATTCGTTTGCCAAACTTTTGCTGACCATATATGGTAATCTTACCTTATAAGGAAGTACGTTGGAAAGTTTTTTTTCAAGTTTTTTTTCGACCTTTCAGTGCTTTAAAATGGCTAAAAATTACAGAATTTGCATAGAAATTGCGTTTCCAACATGTCGGCCATTATAATTTTGTTCTAGTCCCCTCCCATCCTTGAAAATAAGGAATGCCACAGACAATTTTTTGATATGCAAAACTACCCGCGAAGCTAGTTTTTAGCAGGAGGGAAGAAAACCAGTAATCTTGACGCAGTTTGTATTTCAAAATCAGTTCGTTTTGTTCAGACATGTCAATACGTTTCTTCCGCATAAAATAAGTTCAACTGAAGCAATAATTTCACTATAGACGTTTTCTGCTGAAAAGAGATAAAAAACAGGAGGACTGCTGAACGAATTTGTGTTTTGTTCCTTAGTAGAACTTAGTCAAAGAAAGGTTTATTCTGCTACCTGAGTATTACGGAATATATGGGATTTAGGATTCCTYAACTATAATAAACCAACTCAGTTCAATTTCAAATGTGCATTCGGTCTGAGCTCATGGTTCGGGTATATCCTGATCTTGTTTTAATTTTCCACATATCCCACAAAACAAATCCTTATAATTAGTTGATTCTAATTTGAGTTTAGACTTGGATATTAATTGATAGTTTATGAGAAAAAGCAATTGCTTTCAACTAAAATCGCTGTATGAGTTCCAGTTTTACTTGTCATTTATCCAATTACTAAATAAATGGTTAATAATGAATATCATCATCAATATCAATATCAATATCCTTGTGTCATATTGCTTTCGGCCAAGTAGTTATATAGTTTTACCTTTTTAACATTTTAATTCAATGACGAGCACAATAACAACAAAAAGCTATGACAAAGCCTGAAACCTCAAACCAAGTCATTATCGCTTTGAATTATGCTTTCTCTCTCCACTTATTARCAAGTTTAACTTTCTGAATGAAAAGATTGGAACTTTTTATAAGATGGGTACTTTAAGAATGTATCCCTTCTGTCTAAATTGAATAATAGATCTTAAATTAAGACTTCCTCACCTGGTTGTAGCAAGGCCAAAAGAAGGCAAGCAGCAGCAATGACGACYACAGGTTTCATTTTAAGGATGGGTTGATAGCTTGATCTCGTCAACAATYCAGCACAGCGCAGTATCAGGCTCAGACTGAYCGAGTCAGGGAGTTTAAACTATGTATATATCAKCATACCACKCCCTAATTAATTCTGTCAATCATTTCATGCTGCTGTACACAAAKAGGATGAKCTGTCATTTAATGTTACTGCTTTCTGTTTGGTTGACTGCTCCTTAAGCAATTTCATTGTATCATATCGTAATTCGAATCACTCATGGTATATGAGCTGATAGCCTAGTAGAAGAGAAACCAAACAGTTGGTGTACTTGCCCATATCCGGTGATTGTTTATATAATAATTTGATTTAGTATCCACCAAGCTATGAGCTATCGCATATCCAGCATTTTGATTGGCTGCTAAACAATGGACTATTCATAATAGAGCATTGTCGAATCGAACCAAGCGAAAAGAGTCACAAAATRTCTGTTCTTTATGGTGTCATTGGTCAAAATTCTCCTATATTTTGTTGTATACTAAAACAATTAGACCACTTGGTCTCGTGAACTACGAAAGTCCAGGAGACATGCTCTATTATAAATAACTAGTAATGTTGCTTTTATTTTCATTTTGCTGTTTGCATATTCATCCCATTTGACATGAATATATTCAGTTTCTTCGTGGTTGTGGACACACACATGTTCCAATAAATCATAGCMCATAATAATATGTACTTATTCTCGGATTTCATAAAATATTTTTAATTCAATTTAATCCATCACTTCAATTACTGTGCAGTATGTRTCATCCGCCATGTTGGAGGACATGAGTCGTCTTCTAACAYGGCTGTCGCWTATAYTMTTTACCAATTWTTATGCATATTCAATCGCAAATAATTCAGTAACGAGATGMTGTACGAACTCTAAACTACGCAGATATACGTAGAGTTTTGAATACTCTAAAAGAATATGAATGTTATAGTACGTTTTTGAATAAAGCTTTTGAAATTCGAGGAGAGATCATTTTGCCTGAATTATCACGTGATTGAAAACGAATTTTCAGGTTAGGGGGTTATATAGGCTCCTTCTTCAGCCGTCGAGAATTCGTATGCGCGCCAGCCGATACTCTCTTCTCAAGGACTCACTATCAAAACTTCAGGTTTGCTGTAAGATGTTTCACTTCCGTTAAGTCATGGTATGCTAATTTACAGATTCTTAAGAATGAACATGACGCTAGACATGGTTGGTTTATGTCTCATCAAAACTGATGTCACAACATTTCGGTTACAATRTCTAACCACTGCTTTCTTGAGAAGAAAGCTGTCAATCAACACTAACTACGGAACAAGTTCAACTCACTAAGGTGCAAATGATATACACGTGAAATAGATAGTGACAAATAGGGAATAGTTAGTGCTTAGTTAGACAAGGCATAAAAATTCAGGCATGATATGTACTCTATGCGCTTTTTTCAAGACTATTCATTTTGCGTTGCTACAAAATAAAGACACAACTAAAGCTAAAATAGTAACAAAACGCAAGTAAAATAATTTCAGAGCCTTTGTTCCGATCCTTTGTGTTGCTGAAACAAAAAACGAACTTCAACCTAAAATTAACTACAATGCGCGGGTCGACCATTACCGTCAGAACGAAGCTTGTGATTGATCGAGACAGCACCAAAAGTCACAATCTTTGTTCTAACAGTAGCGTACACCCTTTTATACGCAAAGAAACGCGTTTTAGAACCTTTATTTATTTGCTCATGCGCTGCTTCAAATCACTGGACACATCTTAAACTAAAACAAACACGCAATATGAAAGGAACCTATATTTATTTGCGCTGATGCAAAATCAATACATATCAAAAGCTAAAATACTTTCACAATGCGAAAGGACACGTTTTTAAAAGAATCTTCTTGAAATTAATATTAACTAAAATTAAGATTTTTAATTAAAATTAAACTAAAGTTTGCAAGACCTGAGACGGTTAGATTTTAGGAAAAATAATTACTGTCAAAAACTTGGTCTGATATTTTCCTTTCCTGAACTCGTGTTCGGTTAATAAAATCAGTTCAGTGTTCAAGGAAAAAATTAAAATTTCATTTGTATTTTAAGGCTGAGTCCCCGTCCAGAGACTTTCAAGTATCCGTAAATTTTTTTATTTGGCAACACTAGCGTCCACACATGTCCTCCATATTACGCTTAGCGTCTACTCAATGCCTTTGGAGATTTCTGTTACACTTGCTTGACGTCGCTCGCTCTTTTTTATCGGGAGGGAATGACTTGCTTCACTTGTTGGGTTTCCATTTGCGTTTCGTGTAAAAACCTCGAGAGTTGTTGAGAGTCKTTGTTGTTGCTTGTTCGCAGTGTTATCCACTAAGAGGAATATGGCGACTAAGAACTAGGCAAGTATTCTAGTTTAACAGTCCTTCGAGTCAAATTGCATCGGGTTTATCCTAGCCGAATTTTCAGTCTAAGTAAAATATTCTGATTTTTCATTTTTTTCGAAAACATAACAGAGGGATCACTGACTTAATAGTCATTATATTTTTGAACGAAATTACGACGAATTCCTTTTTAATCAAGATTTAATGTGAATTACCTGACTATTAATACGTGAATGTGTTAGTATATTATTCGATGCAATGTAGGCAAATAATGCATCACCCAAAGAGATACATATATTTTTTTATTATATATCAAGTGTCAAAGTTCACTTTTCCTAGTATTTTATTGGTCGAGAGTGTACCACGTGAAAGTCACAAAATTTTACTGTTTCCCGGCAACTGTCCACCAGCGGTCAAAAATATCAGTCTATCAGTGTTGTGGACCGTCAATAAGTACAAAATCGCAGAAAAACGCTCTTCAGTGTCGTGAAAATGTCACATTTACGGACGTTGCATTCAAAATTGTTATGAAACATTTCATTTCGACTACAAATAGTATTAGTATTCATTGTGTTATTACAATTGATTGATTTTAGTGACATTTGACTATTTGTATTTTTCAGTCATTTTATCAAAATCTTTAATAAAAACACTTCATTTATTTACTTTTTTTGCTCTCTTTGACACTTGATATGATAGGGTTAGCTTCGCTTCGGGAAACATCAACGGTCTCATTAAAAAAAAATAAAATTAAAAAAACTATTAAAATTAAAATTTCCTGAGTCTATGTATTCTCTTATATATTTACACGCAAGTTTAGAATCACTAAAGAGTAACTCTGCTAATTGGYGCGGCCTCAAAAAGTGCTAATTGGTTGGCGATGGAAAAACTTGAGTTCACTTTATGGTCTCTAAGATACCCGATGCGGTCACCAATAAGGCAACAGTGATCAGGATGATCGTAGGTACCTCGGTAGTGCTTGCGTTACATAGGTCACTGTCACAGCAGCTTGCAGTGCATGTTTCAGTGATGTTTTTGCAAAAACTTTTTGTTTCACAATACGACTTCGTGGTGCATCCCTTGGACACCTTTTGGCCAGTTTTGATTTTGAAACAGCGATCGAAAGTTGCAAAGACTGCTAACATGGTTTTGTTGCAATCTTTCTTGTTTTCCTTGCAGTTCCCATCTGAATTGGTGCACTCGTAGCATTCAATGCATACAGCTGTGTATAGAGTAACGAGAATATATCAATGATTTATCTCCATAATTTCGTAATATAAGCAATAAACTGATATTATATCACTGTAAAAAATCGAAATCATTTACATCAAAGTTACATCATTTTGGATAATATTTACATCAAATTTACAACCTTTAAAGCGCGCGATTTTTTCCAGTTTATCATTCAACAATAAAGAGACTTACTAATATATAAATTAAGTGGCTTTTTTTGTTGCCAATCTGAGTTTTTCTGCTGTCTGCTTATGTGTCTAGCACTATTGCGTCGAACCTCTACCGTCTCTTTTGGAGAAACACCAGTTTAACACTGGAAAAAATCGTTCACTTCAAAAGGTTGTAAATTGTAAATGTAAATGTAAATATCAAGTAAGTGTCCAAAATGATGTAAATTTGATGCTTAAATTTGATGTAAATTTACATCAAATTTACATCATTTTGGACACTTACATAATATTTACATCAAATTTACAACCTTTAAAGTGCGCGATTTTTTCCAGTGTAATTGAATAATGCAGGTTGACAGTAAAAAATATATTTTTTAAAATGTTCTTAAAATATTCTTGTACAGCTTGCTCTGATGTGAAGTTCGTAAACTCCTTTTTTATAACATTTTCGAGCCAAATATCATGAAATAAATTTAAGTTTAAGACATACAGACAGACAGAAATTCACTAGGCAGGCAACCAAATAAACAACAAACAGTACAATATACAATTCTGCCCACCTAAAGTTGATATACCGTTTGCTGTTTATTTCTTTGTTTCTGTTTTGTTYCGTTTTTATGACTTTTCTTTCCCGCCATGTAAATAAAAATATTGCACATTCCTTGATACTCTAGATAACTTTTTCTATCCAAATACACAGCTCGACCATTTGGTGTTACCTAATTTAACCTCACTTTGCAATATTTTAGTGAAAGCTCTTCAGTCCGGTTAAGTTCAAGAACCACTAGTAGAAAAAGTGTTCCAGTGTATCATAAAATTTCGACTCTTTGTATTGCAGTGTCTTCAGGTATCTTCTAAAATGTCTGGAAATTTCAAAGTCTCAGAAACTTGTAAGAATTTGATCTTGAGAAAGGCAATGTGTCTTAATATGGTGCCAATAGCTAAGGAATTATGGTGAAAGGTGATTTACAAAGACATAAGTGGCAGGTTTATATGACTATCACCANTACAAGTAAAAAGCAAACATATTTGAGTTCACGCGTCTATTATACAATCAACACTCGCAAACAAGAGCACCAAAACCAACCAATCAGAATATCACTGACTAATTAATTTAATATCTAGAATTTCTTGACAACCTTTGTCAATGTGCTTTAGCAACAGGAAGCCCAATCTAATGTTTCGTTTTACTATACTATGTATGTGTCTTAATAAAACTTGAAATTTCTGCCTTTAAAGTGCAACTGAACCCTTTTAAAAAATCATTTAAAAAAATTCGAAATTCAAAATGGCGGCCAGTAAATTAATCAACCAATCAGAATGTTGGAGTGAATCACTCGACCAATCAGAAATTTATACCGGCCGTCATTTTGAATTTCGAATCGAGAACAAGGTCTAACAGACTGCGTCCCCGGGGGTATTTTTTTGGGAGTGAGGAACGTCTTCATGTCAAGAATCTGGATGCTTTTTTTTCTGGTGTAAATGTTGCGTAAGTGTAATCRCATGTTAGAAATGATGCGTCGTCAAAAAGGTTTTGAATCGGTRAATTTTCTTTTCGTTCCACTCAGGCATAATTTCTTTAGTGAACAAGCTGTACAGCTGTGTTTTACTAAGGTGTTTCGTCCCAGCAGCACTACCAGGGACTCCAGCATCATATGTAAAAATATTGCAAAAAAAGTGAAAAAAAATCACACCGCGCGAGTGCCTGAGTATCCAAGTATTCTATAATATGAAAATTAGGTAACACCTAATAACGGAGCTCCAATAGCAATTATATAGAAGAGAATAATTATCTARTACTACTATTTCAAGTCAAWGATAGCCTTAGTAGATGTACGCTGTTTCAAGGAATGTAAAACACAACATCTTTTGTTRACATGCGAACAAATATCATAAACATATATAAACATATTATATRCACAGTTTACGGCCAATCAGAGCGYTCGTAGTATCCAAATTATTCTATAATAAATTGTGCAAAGTACATCTATATAGGGACAATTGCTACTCCTATTTTGGTTGTCTCAAACTCGAGAATGTATTGTTATTCAGTGCTATCAAAAAAACTATACAGTTTACTTTAAAAAATGCATCATGACTTAAGGCGSGAAAATAAGTTTAATTGATATGTCTTATTCGTGATTGAAAAATCAAAAAGCTATCTTTTTTTATTGGTTTTKGTCCTGAAAACTTCAATTTGAGGCAATCAGAATCGAATGGTGACCAAAACAYGTTTTCACAGTGATATCATTCAACATCCACTTGTCATATTATAATACGTTATTGTTGATGGGGGAATATGCTGAAAATAAATAAAACAATCCTATTTTCTCTTACGAACTGGAATAGCTATCGCCTTCCACCAAAAGTAGAACTAAAAACTTCATCTTTGAGTATCCAGGGGTGAYACACATTCGTTGACACGAATGCACGCTTTTTCCTTTTTTCCCTTATGTTCCATCTCTTATGTTTTGCATCAGAATGAGTAAGTGACATCTTTTTCGWTTTGACCTCTTCCAAGCTTTTAAAAAATTACTTTAGTAAACGTTGCCTCAAAAACTGATGAAAATCATGATAAAGAAAAGAACAGTTTTCATCAC